TGTCGTATTAAGGATTTATAAAACATAAACATAAAGGGGCAATCGTGTGCATAAATGCGCACGATTCCCCTTCATGTTATTAAATAGTAAGCCTGCAAAATGCGCTGGATGCCGTAAGAAACGATGGAAGAAAAATTAGAGAAGTGGGAAAATCTTTTAACATACCAGAATCTACCCTCAGAAAAAAGCTGCTAGAAAATGATCTGACACCACCTAGATTTGGCCGCAAGACTGTATTCTCAAAAGAAATAGAGCGTGAGTTAAAAGAATTTGTTTTGTTACTTTCAAAACTATTTTTTGGACTGACACCTGATGGGCTAAGAAGGCTAGAATTTAGGTATGCAGAACAACATAATATTGTCCATAACTTTAATCGAGAAAAGGGAGTAGCTGGAAAGGCATGGCTTTATGGGCTCTTAAAAAGATTTCCTGATGTAAAACTAAGACAGCTTAAATCGGATTACATCCTTTAATAAAGAATCTGTAAAATTATTTTATTTTATTTCAATCTTGAAATCCTCATGCAAAAGTTTAAATTTGAACCAAACAGAATATTCAAAATGGACGAAACAGGTATAACAACTATTCAAGCCAAATGTTCAAAGGTATACGGTGCCAAGGGAGCAAAAAAAGTGGGCTCCGCTACATCCGGTGAAAGGGGAAGGATCATAACTGGCATTTTCTGTATGAGTGCTTTAGGGAATTACATCCTGCCTATGATTATTTATTCCCGCAAAAGAATTCAAACAACTCTTTAAAAAAACGAACCCTTAGGTCCTGTCTATAAATGTTCGAAAAATGGTTGGATTAATTCTCAGTTGTTTTTTGAGTGGTTGTCTCATTTTGCAAAACATACAAAGCCCACTGCAGCTGACCCCATCCTTTTGGTTCTAGATAACCAATGAAGTCATATTTCGATTTCGGCTTATAATTTCTGTAGGGAAAATAATATTCATATGGTATCTCTTCCACCCCACACCTCAGACCATCTTCAGCCAAATTTAAATTTAAATTTAACATTTTTTAGTCCACTAAAGAACGCTCTTTATAGAGAATATGATCTTTACTTATCCTCTTCTGGTCATCAAAAAATAACAGAATATCACGTCGCTGAATTATTAAACAGGGCATTTATAAAAGTCGCCACTATGGAGAAAGCTGTTTCAGGATTTCGCAATTCAAGAATTTTATCCATTAAATCCGGATAAATTTAATGAGGATGATTTTGCACCTTACAAGCATGTACCCAACTGCAATATAGAAGATTCTAACGAGGATGGTCCTACCTTATCCAGAGCAAAGGCTAACGTTGCATTGCCTACTGAAACTGGATCAGAAGCTAATGTTTCATTGCCTGACACTAGATCAAATGCTTTAGTTAATTACGAAAATCCTTAGCCAAGTACATCCAAAGAGAACTCTTTTCTAACCATGGCTTCTATACCAACCAAAAAGGTTACCAAACGAGTAAAAAGGAATAATCGAAAGAAACTATGTTCGAAAATACTTACAAGCACACCTGTCCTGAAAGAATTAGAAATAGCCCAAGAAAAGAGAAGATTAAGAGAATAAAATCTAAAGAAGAAGGGGAAAGACAAAACACTCAAAAAGAAAACTATAAGAAGATGTTTTGATGAAGAAACAGAAACACAAAAGAGAAAAAAAATTAAAGGCCAACAAAAAATGAAGAGAGAGGCAACACCTGAGACATCTGATGACTCATTGGAGGAGGATTTATGCGACGACGACGAGTTAGACGATATTGACTTAAGCTACATACCATATTCTCCAGTAACACCCTCCAAACCTAACGAGATATGTTTGATATGTGAAGAAATTGGCAAGAATGGGGAATTATGGTACCGCTGTGTGTTATGCTCTTCTTGGAACCATGCAGACTGTACAGGTTTAGACACTCCTGCAAATTGCAAATGTGACTTTTGCTAACATTAAACTTAATATTATGTAACTAGTTTTGATGTTAATTTGAAGAATAAATATTTTTTTTTTATAACAAAGATGTATTGCGCACGAATACCTAACCCGTGCGCATCATTGCCCGCCGGGGTGGGTAATTGTGCGCAAATGCAACTTTTCACTTTTGTCAATGTCACCCTTTTGTAGTAATATTTTCTTCAAATATTATATCCCGTATATAAATTAGAATAAGTGAGGCACCTCATACCGTTTTTCAAATTAAATTGTCTATCATAGTCTCACCACAAATAAAATTTCTGCTTAAGTGCGCACCATTTCCCAACTCTTTCCTACTATGCGGTTTACATTGCAAGGTAAATACCTATTTAATCTTAAAGTATTGATATTGATGATGATATAGTTTAGCTGGTAAAATATAATATAAAAATATGTTTCATTTAAGATTTATTATCTTGTTTTGTAGGTATTCCTGTACCCAAAGGAAATTGAATTGGAAGCGCTCGAGAGTTATAATTGGAAATGTCTTACTTGTTTCCTTGCAGTACAAATAATTATAATGGTTCAAAAGCTCCAACCTGAATCTGAATATATCTGCGTTGGGGTTAGTATCAAACAGAAGGTGAGTAATGCTATTAAATATGAATTTTATTCCAATATTTCATTCAAGAAGATGTGTTAGATGAGAGGTAATTGTAGATATGGTAACTAGTCCACTATATGGTAGTTAGCAACGAATAAAAGCTAGGTGGTAGTAGGTAGTTGATAGTCGATGGCCTGAAAACAGGATGAATCCAATATATTAAAGTTTTTATGATGAGATGAGCTTACCGTGAATAAGTAGCGGTCTTTTAAAGACATGTATACAAATTCACTAAAACGTATAATCAGCTTTGAATAATTTTTCGTTATACAATATCTTTGATGGAATTTCTTTTTGTGTTAGGCTTTTTAAATCCGAAATAAATTTCGATTATTTTAATGAGTCCACATGACCCAATTTCAGCCCAAAAAAGAGACAGGTAAGAGATTTTTGGTGACAATAATAAACCTAACCGTATTAGGCTTTTATGTTAATATTTTTAGGCAGGAGAGCACCCAAAAGTTTGCACAACAATGGGAAAAAGAAGAGTTCAAGTTGAATGTTAATATTGTTTGTACTTTGGAATATAAACAATAATTCAAGTAAAATAAACAATTATTAAATATCTGTTAGCATTATTTTAAAGTATTTATTTTATTTTTCTTTAGTTTATTTTAATTTTAAAATTTCTGTTGCACAAAAGTATTGAGCCCGTAACAATGATACCAAATTTACCTAAGAGACAGAAAACAACAAATCTATATACTTTCAATGACTAGAGCTTTGAATTTAACATCTTTAGAAAACCTTTACATACAGGTGTTGTTGAGTGCTTTATCTAGTGGTTTTTTTAATCATTTGTTATTTTGACAGTGACAGTTCTTTCCTGCTGGAAATATTGGTAAAAGGTTAAAATTATATGTCAGCAGAACGAAATGACAACATTTACACAAGGTCCCGGCGTCGTACGTTGCGCACCAGGATAGCCGTTTCCCCTGTTAATAGTTGGTAACAAGTTTGCTTGACCTCGACAGCAGCGCGCTAAGCGCGATATGATAAAATTTAATTTGGGTTATGTAGAACACTACTAATCAAAGTAATTTAAAAAAAGGCGGGCTTCAAAATTTATGAAAATTGAAGCAATTTCAAGAAACATTTTCCTGTTTTACAGCTTTTACTTACAATAATTAAAACGATCGAATTTTTATTGTAAGTAAATACTGAAAACGGAAAATTTCACTTGTTAAAAAAAACCATTTGTAATAAGTTATTTTGTTCACATTTTATTTACAATATTCAACAGCATATTCACAATATAAACACTATATTTACATACTAAATATTAAAGCATAAAAAGGTAAGATGTGACAATTATTTTATTATTAACAAAACTGGGTACAAATTTTAAAAAACATAATTTTAATTTCAAAAAATTGAAACCAACACAAAACAGTCATATCTATAAATACCACAATGATTATTATAAAAATATCTAGTATTGACTTATTATTACACAAAATATAGGTAATTTTTCACAGAAAACACAAAATAATTAATATTTACACTTAATTTGACATAAAAACGTTTTAACTATATTTTTTTATCTTAATTTTTCTTACCAAGCCAATCAAAATTTCATGATGAAATCAATTTTAATTGTTATATTTTTTATATTTATTTTATGTATTATATATGTAAAATTAAAAGACTGTTTTATGTCTAATTTACAAAAGCTTTAAAATAATTATTCTAAATATCTGTCAAAGTTTATCAAGCAACTAAATTTTAATGAATGTTCATGCAACCCACTTTTTCTAAATCCTTCAGGCCTAAATATATACGAAGACAAGTGTTTTGAAATTTTATTGGTTAGGAAAATCATATGGCACTGAACCACTCTTTTATCCTTTTACCCATCTGTCCATCTATTTCAGTCCAGCTTAGTTGCAATGCCCATTGCAAAAGTCTCCTTACACTGGTATATCTAAAACAAAACAAAATAATAAAGGCCCAGTGTATCTTAAAACTAAAATAGGTCTATATTATCTTTTAAATGCTTAGAAATATTTTTAGTTTCTTATAATAAGAGGTACACAAATTTTCAATAATTAAAAAAAACATCTGATTTTTGCTCTTGGCAAGCAAACCATGCAAAATTACCATGTTTGTAAAAATATAAAATTAGTTTTTTAACAATGCATTCTATATTAAGGTGGGTCAAAAATTTTGTTTTTAAATTTCATAAGCGCTACCACAGAAAAGTTGTGTATTAGGGAAATAAAAAATATTGTTAAAAAAAATAAAAAATGATAATCGGACTAATTATAACCCTCAAAAAGGGCAAAAAAATAATTATCTATATTTGATGGCGCTAGTAAATAAACTATTTGTTATTGTCTCATTGAATCAAAAAAAAAAATATATATTAAAAACAAAATATTTTTAACCGAGCCAAGGGTCCATAACTTACGCTATAATGCAGAAAATTTCAAATATATTCATTTACTAGCCCTCGTATACGAGGACTATACTTCGACGGGAGAAAGGACCAAACAATTTGTATTAAAAAACTGCAAAAAGATAACCCAACAAAAAGAACACATTACAATTATTAAAGAACCTGGTAATATTTACTTTTCCCATGTATCTATAAAGGGTTCTGTTACCGCAGCAAATATAAAGGTTAAACTTCTTCAGTTCCTTAACAAGTATCATACAGATATCAGTGATTTAACCGTGATAGGTTGTGATGATACAAATGTAAATACTGGGTGGACAGGAGGTAGCATTAGATTCATTGAAAATCACATTAAAAGGCCCCTTCAATGGTGCATTTGTCTGCTCCATGCCAATGAGCTACCTTTGAGGCACTTATTTCAAAGTCTAGATGGAGATACCAAAGGATCTTACAGCTTTTCGAAACCAATTAGGGATCTTTTAAAACACTGTCAAGACATGCCAATTGTAGAGTTTAAACCAATAAAGACATCTCTTCCTCAACTCCAACCAGACGACTTAAGTACAGATCAGCAGTACCTATATAAGATTTGCATAGGCATTCAAAATGGAACCGTTACTTCCAATTTGGCAAAGAGAGATCCAGAAAAGATGTCACATGCTTACAACAGCCAACAGAATGCTACGCCTTTATATCGCTACTAATAATCCATCTCCCACTCTAGTTATTTTAACCGAATTTATTTTAAAGGTCTACGCACCTGTTTGGTTTAAAAATAAAACAAAACCATATATTTGCGATGGAGCGAGACACCTGTTGAAAGCTATTAATGCTTCAAGAGGATTCCCAGATAACGTTTCTACCTACTTTCTGTGCCTAAGCACCTGAGGTGGGATTTATGTCAATCCAAAGTTGGATGCCGACTAACTACAGTGAAGAAGGGGGTGAGTCGTAGAAAAAGTTATGTTCTTCAGTAAGCGCCAGGAATTTAACCTCACATCCAACCATCCATGTGACAGTTCACTACCAAACTCCAAATAGGAAACTATAGCATCTCCTCTACAAGGCCATCAAGCGGCTACAAATCGAGTATGCCCCTAATATATTATATCAGTTACTTTACCATAAAAAATAGATGCTGACAGTTAGCAAGTGGGGATAAATAATAAGTTAAGTTCAATATATACCCAAGTTTAATAATGATAAATATAAATCGTGTTGACATGGGGGTCAACTTCGTTACCACTATGAAATATACTAATATTTACCAAATTATTAACAATTAAATCACTTAGTACATTAACTACTAAATTTCCCAACTATTAACAATAATCCAGTATCACTGGGAGTAATATTTACAACTAAAATGCTATATCAAGCTTAAAAATCATTAAATGGGACTAAGGGTAATCGTAAAAATGTAACACATGAGGTGTGTACTGTATTTAGCAAATAAACAAATAATAGTGTACTATTTACGGACGCTAGGGGTAAAAACAAGTAAAATTCTGTTACTTATTAATAATATTAGTTACCCATCAGTAATATAACCCACGAAGAGCTCTTGGTGAAGTGTTTTGGGTTTAATAAAAATATACTGTAAACCATACACCCCTAAACCTCGTTTACATTAGGTTAAGATAAAATTATATACTAATAACACCCCCCAATGAAATAAATTAAATAGTAATAAGTAATATAAAAATAAGATAGCAAAAACTTGCGGTACACTTTTTTCCAGTAGACGTTGATGTCTCTGCTTCGTTAGCAGCATACAAATCAATCAGTTGGTCACAAGATGTGCTAGTCAGCCCGTCACAAGAATACTGGCCCGTCACGAGAAGTGTTGGCCCTTCACAGGGACTACTGGCCCGTACCAAGAAGTGTTGGCTTTCACAAGAGTTGATAGCCCGTCACAAGAAGTGTGTGCCCGTCACAAGAATACTGGCCCATCACAAGAATCCTAAAGAAAACGTATAAGATAAAACACAGCGATAACTATTTATCCCTGGTTATGTAAAGAAGTTAAAATTAAATAAACAGGTACCTACATAGCCTTCTCGTGAAGCGAGGTCTAGAAACAGGTAAAACTACTCAACGTTTACTAGTTAAATTAAGTTCGGCTTATTAATTTATGTAGGTAATCTTCAGATTTACAAAGCAAAAAGATAGACGGCTCGTGAAGCGAGTTCTACCTAACAATTACATTTAATAAACAAATTACACCCTTACACTTCAAGATTACTACCCCTAATAGTTCATCCCATATACTGGAAATATATACAACGAAAAGAACACAACATAGGGTTAGGTCTAAGTAAGCATTCTAACTAAAATCAAAGCATATTTACCTCTGTTATAGCTAAAAAAAAAGGGGGATAAACGGTGCACCAGATAAATTAAACGGCAAATTCGTGAACGACTTATTCAAAAAGACTACATATATATGTGGATACTGCAATAAAAGAACGAAGGTCTTACAAAGGAATAGCTACGTCGTAACTTAAAATGCTGTGTAGAAAAAACTTACCAAAGAGATTCAACACGTGGTTAAATATATCCTCCTAAGAGCTCCTACAACATGTGTTCACCAAAAAAAAAAATACTACCAAATCCACACTGTTGTAACTTAAAACAAAAAGGTTGCCTCGCAATATCCCAAATGGATTGAAACGACTTCCAATAAATTTCGAAACAGTACCTTTAAAACAAAATCCACGTGTGTCGAATATCAATCTCGAAATTCCCAACCGGACGGAACAAGGTCACTTAAAATTCAAAAAAAAAAAAAACAGTAATACCAACATACCTCAGTGACAGATAGGTGTCCCATCAGCGCCCTCTATTACGAAATAAATTCTTGACAGAAAGGGCTAAAATAAGCAAACAAAGCCTCTAAAACGAAATAAATAGCCTAACTAAACTCAAATAGAGGTTATATCTACCCCAAACTGATCATATACCCACAATTAACGTCAAAACGGAAACGCTAGACCGATATCTTGAATACAGGGCAGCCACATGCTCACCCAGAGTGTGGCAGAGGGTCCTCTCTGTTCGAATATCGACCCCAAAAGCACAGTGGTTAAAATGCGGGTATAGAAGGACCCATTAAATAATTACTGAACATGGATAAAAACTAGCTTATTCCTATTTTTATGAAAAACAGCTATAAGGCCAAATTTAAACGTTACAACGTTAAACATATAACCAACAAAGTCTTTGCCGACAATGCATATTTTGCCTACCCCGAGAACCGACTTCTGGCAATGCTGAGCGATTCACGTCCATACATTAGAGAATTAGCTGCAAGAAGAAATAAAAAATGTAGGATGCAAACTAATAAAATGGTCAGAGTTTTTAGGGTACCTTTTTTAAATTTAGATGCTGATGATTACATAGACTTAATAGATTGGCAGAAAACTAGGATTACCGAACCGCCATTAACATTTAATATAACAAATGAAACGTTAGATAATATTGTGACAGGAAAAGAAGCCCTAAATTTTGAAAAATTTTATGTCACACACAAGCAGTAGAACGCTGTGTAAAATTAGTAACTGAAGCTTCTAATAAGGTTTTCGGTGAGTCATCCAGAATCCATCTCTAGATTAAAATTAGAAGCGCGAACAATTTTACCAGCATTTGATAAAACATCGCAATATTTTGAAAAGCGAAATGAAACATAAATTGCTACAAAAAAGGGCGGGAGGGTCCCCAAATGGGAGGAACTCTAGGTGCAAATACCTCCGCGTGATGAGTTCTGGGTTGATTTAGCGATATATAATTCCACTTTTAATTATAAATCACTAAGTCAAGCGAAAAGTTGTACAAAAGTTAAAGAAAAACATATTTCTGTCAATGTCCGCCTGCGGTAGGGCCCGTGGGGCTGGTTAAAAATGATATATTTTGGTCCAGTTTTTTTAACAGTATTGAAAAGCCCTTAAGTAATTTTTTTTTTTAGTAAAGCCACAAAATTAAAAAAAAATTAACTTTAAAAGGGCCCGTGGGCCCGGTTAAAAGTTGTTAAAAAAACTCCAATTTTTTAAGAATACCTCAAGACATCATAAGACAACTTTTTCAGAGTAGCGCGTTTATTAAAAAAAAAAAAAAAAAAAAAAAAATAGGCCTGTTTCGACCCACCTTATTCTATATGTCCATATTTGGGTTGTATTTGATAAATATATTCATAAATAGTACCCAAAAATTAAACAATTTCTTTCTGAGCATAAATCAAATGTGTAAACCTATTATGAGGTTCTACAATACCTGCTCGTAAATTGCCTGTACCCACTTCCCATTTCTTACTCGTGGTTTCTCTATTAAAGGTACCTACCTCCACACATTCAATTTTATCATAAAAAATTTTTAGCTTTCTTTTAGATGAAGTTATATTTGAAAAAGATGGTTTAATCAAAACAGCACTAATTACATTTATTTTTGCAAGTTAATTTGATGAAGGCATTATAAGCTAATGACATCCTTAGAACCTCAGTATATTTTTACAGCTATAAATTACTTAAATCTAAAATAATTAAGACTAATTAAATTTTACTTACTCACATTTTCCAGAAAAATATCTGTCATGTTTTAGCGCAATAACCTAATTTATTATCAAAGCCAGATTTACACCACTTCTTAATATTTAAATTTTGCTTTAACAGTTTAACAGTTATCCCTGTATTTGATCATATATTGTATTAAAGTGATATTTAGGAGATTGTATTAGTAAAGTTATTCATTTCTTTAATTTATATTCATTTTTAAATTATTATATGGGTGTACACACGGCTTTATATTTAGTGATCGCAGCGCATGAAGCGCGATATGATAAACTACAAACAAGGAAATAAATCCCGCCTATTATTCAAACCTTCTGTTATAGTTTTTCTATAGTGCGCACTGACGAGCAGGGATCCCAGATGTACTGAGCCCAAATTCACATGAGCATGCGCAGTTTAGCGAAATATATTATATTGATTTTTTTTATTGTTTTTTTTTTATATCTTTATATTTAAATAATTTTTTTTTATTTTTTTAAAAAAAATCAATATTTAATTTTACTTGTTTTTTTGAGCTCCTTATATATATATTTTTTTTATTTTAAATAATTTTCTATTTAATATCCTTCTATAAAAATTAATTTAACTCCGGCTATGCTTTTTTATTAAATACCCTAATCAGATATTTCACATGATATGCTCTCATCCCAGGAGTCGGTTCCCATACAATAAAATTATTATTTTAAGTTTAATTTACCTTTTATTTATTTGTATTAATTTTGTTGTTGACCCTGCATATATATTTTTTTTTTTTAATAAAATTCATTTATATAAAAATCAAGTTAACAAATTTATTTAAATTTCAATTTCCAAATAAAAACCAAACAATTATAAACAATTATAATATAAATCGTGTAATATTAAATTAGAAATAAATCCTCATTGTTATTTTACTTATCATGAAAATTAAAAATTTCTCAATGAGTTTTTATTTTCCAAAAATATATCTGCAGATATTTTTGTGACTTAAATATAGTGGACAAAAAATGGCGTCGAGTATAATAGTAGGTATTTGCGCCCTCTATTGGGTAATAGAAAAATTAAACAATTTTTTTATTATTTTTAGATTTCTGTACAACTCACACTGATGGTGATCTGCAAAATGTCATTAAATGAATAGTACCTTTTTTTTTCGTTTCAGT